GGGTTTTGTCAAATGCTTTTTCTGCATCATTTGAGACGGTCCTGGTTCCCCCGCGTTCTGCTCACGGGGTCTGTCGCACTGACTGATTTTCTCAGGGAACCACTCTCGCATTCCTGAGATAAAGCCCACTTGGTCAGGCCATAAAATCCTCTTAATATGCTGTTAGATTTGTTTTCTATTATTTTTTGAGTGTTTTTGGATCTGTATTTATAGAGGATATTGATGTCTTTGTCCAGCTTTATTATCAGAGTAACACTGGCCCCACAGGATGAGTCAGGAAGTATTTCTCTTCTAATATTTTGGGAGAGTTTGGAAAGGACTGATGTGAATTCCTCTTTAAATTCTTGGTAGAACTCAGTAACGAAGCCATCTGGTCCAGTATTTTTCTCTGCTGGGAGGTTTTTGATTATTGATTCAATCTCTTTACTTGTTGCAGATCTTTTCCAATTTCCTGTTTCTTCCTGAGTCCCTCTTAGTAGTCTGTGTCTCTGGGGCTTTGTCCCTTTTATCTGGTTGATCTGGTTGGCTGGCATACAACTGTTCATAGTTCTCTTATAATCCTTTGTATTTCTGTAAGGTCAGTAGTACTGCCCCCAGTTCCTTTTTTGATTTTACTTGCTTGCGTCTTCTCTTGTCAGTCAAGCTAAAGGTCCGTCAATTTTTTTTGATGATTTTAGGAGTTTTTTTTTTGTGTGTGTGTGAGCAAGATTTGCCCTGAGCTAACATCTGCTGCCAATCCTCCTCTTTTTTTGCCTGAGGAAAATTCACCCTGAGCCAACATCTATGTCAATCTTCCTGTACTTTATGTGTAGGGCGTGGCTGATGAGTGGAGCAGGTCCGCACCCAGGATCCAAATCTGCAAACCTGGGCCGCTGAAGTGGACCATGCGGAACTTTAGCCACTCGGTCATGGGGCCGGCCCTGACTTCAGGAGTTTTAAAGGTCGATTTGCCGTTACGTGAGTTCCGCCTTACTCAGTGGTGTAGGAACTGAGTCCCTGAGGATGAAGGGCCTGTGGGTCGTTAACCGTGAGGACACGGGGTGGGGAGGTCAACATGGGAATGGGCCTGGCCAGACTGTCATGCTGCTGAGCAAGGGAACCCCTCAGGAGAGAGATGCAAGTAGTGCCTCAGAATTCAAGATGGTATTCTTCCCAGGAGCCTCGTTCACTTCTGAAAGGTGCGTCGATCCTGAGGGAGCCAGGAGTGGCCAACACAGGCGATAAAATTAAATATAAACAAAAGATGGCGCCCCAAATCCATTCATCTGAGAATGGAAGTCCCCACCTCTATTATGGGATGGCTTAAAGAGGAAATGAGAATCTCTAGAATTCACAGACAAGGCCCACAGTATCCAACAGAACCCACGGGTGCGGCCGGGGGCTCCGTAGCCGCGTTTCCTAGAAATCAGGAGGAAGGACAGAAACGAAGTAAGTTTGCAACCCAGGAAGAGAGCGGACAAAAGCCTGGCAGATGTGGAAGGAAGGGAGGGAGATGACAGCAAGCCGTGCGAGAACTGGAAACCGCAAGAGGAGAGTTGATTGCAGGACCCAGAGCTGGCGCCCTGGGAAGACCGACCAGGAGACAAAAGAGAAAAGCCCAGAACAAAGCTCAGGAACGGAGAGGGGCCGCCCCCCTGGTGGGAGAGATCTGGAAGTTATAAGGGCGCCATGAGCGACATGAATAACCGTAGAGGCCATGCAAGCGGTTACGTACAGTAGCTGCTCAGCTTTCTGTTCCTCCCTGGCCCAGTTTTAATGGCCTGTCACCTCCCGGACTCCAGACGTGCTGAGCTGAAGCTCCATCCCCTCCTGAGAGCCTGAGGCACAGACCCTTCCAGCTGGAACCAGCGGCCCAAGACCATGGGGCGTGAGGCCCACCAGCAGGTGCAGCGGCCCCAGGAGAGAAGGGGCGCCCAGGGAGGGTCTCTCATCTGAACAAGGCCCAGAGGCATGTCTCGGCCTTCGCAGGTGCCGAACTGTATCTAATTACCATGAAGTAAAAGCCTCTGGGCCAAGGAGGGACATCAGAGCCCCTCTCCCTGACGACAGCCCATGCACCCTGCCCCGTGTGCGATGGGAGCTGCCTCCTCACCTGGCCGCTGGAGCAGGAGGGGAGGCAGGGTGGCCGTCCCCCGAGACAGGCCCTCAGCGGAGCCCACGGCTCAGGACAGAGCCGACAGCCAGGCCCAGCAGGTCACCCTGAGTACCGCCACTGCCTGGCGCATGGCGACTGGAGTGCCAGATCCCCCAAAACAGGCAGCGGCCTGGGTGGTCCTCCTGTGCCAGGCCCTTTCCAGGGGACCCAGCCTCCCGGCCCCGACTCAACAGGTCAAGCTGGGGGCCGACGTTGCTCAGTGGGGGTGGGGGGGGGCCCTCGAGGTGGAGAGTCAGGGTCCCCTCCATGTCTTGGGGCAGCAGTGGGGGGGGTGGGGCACAGACGTCTCAGCATGTGCCCAGCACCTTCTGGGCTGAGGAACTTTCTGGAATGCGGTGTGGCCACAGGGACAAACTCTGCAGCTTACGGTCCTGGCGGGGCCCAGGTGGGATGAGGTGGCCTGGGTGTGCTGCCATGCCTGGACAGCCCCCGTCCAGACGTGTGACAGCCATGGGGGTGTAGTGTTCTGCACGGAGGAGTCCCCAGACAGAGGCAGGGGTCTCGGCACGGCTGGCTCGGCCAGGCATGATTTCCAGGGCCATCAGCTAGAGAGAGCGGGTGGGAAGACCAGGGGCACCTGAAGTTCTCAGCCGCCCCCGCCGCCCCTCCCCCACACCCTAGACCCCTCAGGGCAGAAGTGGCTGCAGTGGCTCCAGCACCCGACTGAGTCTGACCACAGTTCCCTGCAGTGGGGCGGAGAGCCGTGCCTGGACCATCTGCCCCAGCCAACATCTGGTGGGAGAGCGAAGAGGAGAGAATGGCCCCCATGCTCCCGGACTCAGCCGTGCAGCGGTCCCTCAGACCCAGACGGCTAATGCCCCACCTCGTGTCCCTGAGCCCCTCCCCTCTCCGGAAGTTTCTCTTGGGTCGACTAAGAAACAACAGGTCTCATGGGAGGTGTTGGGTGGAGCAGGTGCCCGCGGTGTCTGCGCTCTTTGTGTCCACCAGGCGACAGTTTACCTGGCAGACCTGGATAGGGGCCGCTTGGCCTGAGGGGCCAGGCTGGGCTCCCACCAGCTGCGAGTGTGACCAGGAGCAGCCTGGTGGCAGGTGAAGGCAGGGCTTGGTGGCTCTGGGGGCATGGGCACCAGGAGGTGCCAGTGCGGAGGCCCCGCGCCCGAGGCGCTGGCGAGTGTGGGGCAGAAAGGCCCTGGGTGGGCTGGGGTGGCAGTGACTATTCACAGCCAGCAAGGAGGGACGTGTGGGCCTCGGGACAGACTCTGAGGGTGAAGCCGGTGCCGTCTGCTGTTGGATGGGTGGGGGCAGGGGGCCCCGAGCCCAGGAGGGTGAGGGGCTGCAGGAGGAGCAGGTCTGGGGGGTCCTTAGTTTGTCAGAGGAGTGGCCTCTCTCCAGCCACAGTGCCCTCAGCCAGACCCAGACCTGGGGTCACCTGTGATGTCCCTGGGGTGAGTGTGTATTTGTCCTGTCCTGGGACGGCTGTGGGGCCACCAGTTCCTGGGGTGCCCCTGAGCCAAGGGGTCCCTGTGACTGGGCCTGGGGTCTCCCTGTGTCACCTCTGCCTCTAGCTCCAGCCCTGCCCCCAAGCCCCAGGCCTAAGCGTCACCTCCTGTGTGTGTCTTGGGGGTTCTGGGAGACTTGGAGGCATGGCTGGACCGAGGCCCAGAGAGAAGCCCACAGTTAGGGCATCTGAGTCCTGGGGCTCCCCTGCCCAAGCCCTGGGTGGCGACGAGCCCGGCTGGCAGGCACAGGGATCCCCCCCACGCTCCCCCCACGGCTCCTGGCAGGGAGGCCACTCATGGTTCTGGGCGCAGTGGGGGAGCGCCTTCTGGGCCCAGGCGCAGTGTCTCCTCAGGCCCCCTGCCCACACTGGGCCTCACAGGACACCCCCTGTGCACCCCCCCGCTGGCAGAGCCCCCCAGGAAGGGCTGCCCAGGCACAGCAGCCGGCGGTTAGCTCCACGCGGCCGCCGCGGGCAGACTTGCTGGCTCCAGGCTCCTCGTCTGAGGCCCCGTCTGTCCCGACACAGACACAGGGAGCCTGTTTCCCTGTGAGCAGGAACACGGACTCTCTGTTGGCACCTGGGCTGGCCCCCCAGGCGGGCGGGGGCTCCACACAGACCCGCACTTGTGCCCACCTCGGCCGGCCTCCTGGCCTGAACCCCCTCGTTCCAGCCGAGACCCTCCGTGGTGTGGCTTGTGCCCTGGACGGTCAGGGGTGGGGGTGGGGTGGGAGGAAGGGGGAGCCGCCTGGTGCCCCCACTTGCTGCCCCCTGGGTGGGAGCCCCTCCGACTCCCCAGGTCTGGCGACCAGGGCTGGGGCCGTGCTGCCCGCTGCGTGGCTGTTAGTCCAGGGGGCCCCCACCCCACGGGCGGGCGTTCTGCTCGCTCACAGCTGACGCCGGGCAGTAAAGACTCGGGATGCACCCAGTGCTGTGGCAGCGGGGCCCAGAAGGATCGCCAAGCAGAAAACACTCCTGCTTAGCTTGTGACGACCGGGCCTCCAATCGCGGCTGTGGGCATCCCTGCTGCTGCAGCACCAGGCCACCCACCCCCTCTGCAGGTCAGGGAGCAGGAGGCCCCACAGCACGAGACTGGGGGCTCTGGTCACAAAGGAGGGGCGGAGGCCCGGTGGGGCGGCCCGCCCCAGGGGGACAAAGGGCTTCTGTCCGTGCTTGGGATGCTGGTCCCTGGGGAGGAAAGCGGGGCCCAGCCTGAAGAGCTGTGCGCATGATCTCCACCTGGACCCCGGTGGCCCTCCCGCCCCCTGGGGTCTCTAATCAACTAGGAAACCCAGGGGCTCCCGAGATCCCCCCTCTCACCGGTTTGCCTTCTTGGACATGCAGGCGCAGGCAGCGGCGCTGGGAACGAGACCTCACTCAGAGCAGCTGGCGTGGCCTCCCGCTTTATTTCTCGGGCACAGGCCACTCTATTCCAGTTCTGTGTACGGCCACTCCCGGGCCTTGAAGTAGCCCTTCAGGTCCTGGAGGCTGAGCGGGGGGAAGTAGGCACCGAGCCTCCTGCGGATCCACCACTTGCCATCGGCGGCGTGCCCGCCCCCAGGCTGGCTGAACTTGTAGCGGTAGTGCTCACCCCGGACCCACCTGTGGCGGGAGGGTGCGTTAGCCTGCAGCCCGTGGCCACGGCGTCTCCGAGGGGCTGGGCTGAGCCCCCAGAGGGAGAGGCCGCCTGGGGAAGCCTGAGGGGCCCAGGTGGAACCCTGACACCCAGGCCCCTGACCAGGTGACGGCGCGGCAGGCGGGCTCTGGAGGAGACACTGCAGGGATTGCATGGTGACGGAGGAAGGGTGGGGCGCTCACCGGCAGGCTCCAGAGCCCCCTCGGACACCCACCCCTCCTCCAGGATGCCTCCCTCCCCCCACTGTGTCCCCTCGGCAGGCAAGTGGAGCCGGTCAATGGTGTGGGGCCAGAGCAGACCCCTGCATTTGGGAAGAAGCCCTAACAGGTGGCTGGGGCCGAGGTGGCGAGTCTCACCTGGGCGGGGCCCTGCCTGCAAAAGGGTTGAAGGCCAGCAGCGACAGGGTCTGGGCGTCGTTGACCAGGAGCTTGCCCGCTAGGTGGAGGATCCACTCGTTGTGCTCGTAGGTCTGGGATGACAAGGACGGGTGCTCAGGCCATGGTGTGGGGTTGGCCTCCCGCAGGGTGGGCTGCCCTGGTGCCCACCCGTTTCTTGGGTTCAGGTCCCTCCAGAGGGGCTGCCTGCTTCCCCTTCTCGCCTGTTGTGTGTGCGGTGGGCGCACAAGAAAAGATCGGAGGGGAGGCGGCCTCGGGGAGGAACCGGGCACAGTGTTGTCATGTGTCGTCACACGCTGTGCCCGGCCTTGGGTCCTGGCCCTGGGCTCAGAGGGCGTGTGGGGTGTGCTCCCCTGAGGGGCAGTGCGGGAGCCCAAGACAATGCTCCACAGTGGACGCCGGACGCTGGTCCTTCGCCTGCTCCACGTCAGCGAGCCCGGGTGGGCCGTAAGGCGGGCGGCAGCTGCACAGGCGCCAGCAGACTGCGTGCCATGTGGGCTTGATGTCATCTCTGCGGGGTCTGATCTCAACCCTGCCTGCCTTCCCCGCCAGCCACTCGAGGGCGTTTCCGGGGCCGCTGCAGCCTCAAGGACACTGGAGTGCCCGAAGCCCGCCATCCACTGCCCGCCAAGAACACCCAGGACGCGGCGGGAGGGAAGGAGAGGGCCCACCTGGAAGGCCGCGAACCACATGAGCCAGTCGAGGCGGTGGTGGTAGGGGGAGATGAGGCACGGCCGCCTCCTCAGGTTGCCCGGCTTGCACTTGAATTCATAGTCCTCCCACACGGCGTCCGGCGCGCTGGCGTTGGGGCTGGCCGTGCCCTGCAGGATGACCTCCGTGCGCTCCTTGGTGATGCTGTTGGGGAGGCTGAGTCAGGGCACTGCACCCTCCACCCCGGGCCCCCTCCCAAGCAGACTGTGGGGGAGGAGGAGCAGGTGGGAGCGGCCTGCCCCACACAGTGCACGCCTCCCCAACAGGGCGTAGAGCAGACCTCGCGACCGCGCCCTGGACCGAGATTGCCCGTGTGGCTGGTCCAGCCTGCTCTCCCTCAGCAGCCTTGGGACCTGCATGGCCACCCGGCGGATGGGGTGAGGAGATGAGAAGCTCAGCGTGGTACCTTCCAAAGGCCCCGTACGTGTTGACGATTCTGAGGGGGTTGAAGGAGCTGTTCATGACTTGCTTGGGACTCAGCAGGTTGAGGACCACAGGGATGCTGAGCCAGGCGACCAGGACGCCCATCGCAAGGTTGACCGCCTGCCGCACCATGCAGCCTGGCCGGAGAGGGCAAGGCAGCGGGTGAGCCCCCAGGCCCGGCATCCGACCTCAGGGAGGAGCCTTGGCCGGCCCCCCAGACTCAAGGAAGCCAAGGGAGAGGCCGCTGGACCCCCGTCCGGGAGTCTGGGAAGGGACCCTGTCCACAGCCCCTCTCCCCACGCCAAGGCTGCTGTGGAAACCGAGGCATGACAACTGCCCTCGTAAGGTGGGCTGGGCCGTCACTCACTAGGGATGTGCAGCACCCCCAGGGCCAGCAGTTCGGGTCCTGGGGACAGAGCAGTGTCCTGAGGTCACTGTGCCTCCATTCCCAAGGACGAGGACACGAGGTCCACATGGAGCAGACGGGAGTGACTCACGCTCAGAGCATGCGAGATGCCATCCTGTCTCCAATGGCTGACAGGGCCAGCAGGAGGGCTGGGTGTGTCAACACCAGTGTTGACGGGACAAGAAGACCAGGCAGGCCACCCGAGGCCACATCCCACCTTCGGGGGTCTACCCACCGTATCTTGGCATGGGCTGGACCCCTTGACCTTCCTTCTTCTGCATCTTCAGGACTTGATCCTTGAGGCCACCTGGCCCAGAGGGAAACAGGAAGCCCAAGGTGGCGTCATCGAAGCAGGCGATGCTGGGCACGATGGTCAGCCAGTTCAGGAAGCTCAGGTTCCCGCTGATGATGAGGACCACCTGGAGGGATGGGCGGCACCTCAGCCTGGGCTGAGCCAAGACCAAGGACCACCGTCTGTGGCAGGTCCTGCCCAGACATCGTGGCTCAGGGTCCTCTGTGGGTAGCAGACCACCCGCTCCGGCCGTCCATATCTCACTTGCTCTGCCAGGACCGAGCAACTTGGCAGTGACGCCCGGGTTCCACGCCCAGAGGTGTTCCAGTCCTTTCCCAGAGGCACATGTGGGATGCCTGTGCAGATGCACGTGGTCCAGGCCCCACGCCCCTCCCCAGGCCACAGACCCTGGCCTCTCTCAGACCAGCCCCAGGGACGTCCTCACTCTAGATGATCTCGGAGGCGGGTTCTTCCTGGAGCCTCGAGTGAAGACCCAGCCCGCTGACACCGTGATTCCGGCCTCAGTCCCCTCCTGGAGGCAGCAGCGAGCCTTATGGACAAGCCCCACGGACCCTGTGGTGAGGGCCTGTGCTGGGGAGGGCCCCGCCACTAGAGGTGAGGGCGTCTGGGGACCTGCGGCCTGGCTGGCACCACCCTCGCCAGCTCCACAGGCCCTGGATGTTGAGGACTGTGCCTGGCTCACGTGGGGCTGGATGGGGCTCCTGCGCTCTCCTGGATCAGGGTTGGGGGAAGCCGTGTGTCCTGTGCCTGTCTGTCTGCTGCCCTGTCCTCCACACCCGAGTGACCACACACACTCAAGGCCGTCCCTTGGGCCTGGGCACCCACAGGGACGGGTGTGATGGTTCCTGTGTTGTGTGCAGGCCCGCCTTCCCTTGGGCGTGGCGTCGATGGAGCCCATCTGCCTGAACTTTGACAGAGGCCACGAGGATGGGGCCACCCCAGGGCTGTTCGCCAGGCGGCTGTCCGCAAGGCTGGGCACTGCCCCTCCTCAGAGGCCTCGAATGGCCCCAGCTGGTTCTGGCGCAGGATCCAGGGTGAGCCTGGACGACACAGGGTCCAGGAAGACCAAACGTGCCTGCTGACAAACTGGTGTGATGGAAAAATCCCTCCAAAAATGGGGACCAGGGAGGCTGGGGCCTGCCCCGTGCCCCGGACCCAGTGGGCTCACCTCTCGGGACTTGGTGCTAACTGGTGATCCACAGGGTGTTTCCCGTGAGGGTCACCCTACAAGGGACTTGGCCTCCTGGCCAGCAGCTGAGTAGCAGGGTCCTGGGAAGAGCGGCTGCGCCTTCTAGACGATGAGGGGAAGACTGGAGAGTGCGGGCGGCAGGGGGTCCAGTGTCAAGGCTGACGGGGGGTGCGGGCATGCGGGGCCACGCGGGCACGGCTCAGGTGTCTACAGGGACCCGGCTGCCTCAGCAAAGAGGAAACGACAGTGGGAGCTGCAGGTCAGCGGCTGGGCCCACAGGAAACGAAGGGGACGGGACAGCCTCCAGCCGCACCAGTCGCCTGAGAAGAGCGGCCAGAGGGCCACTTGGGGAGGGACTTCGAGAGAGAGGAGGCGACACGGAGACCAAGTCACCATGAAAATGGGAAAATCACCACGAAGACAAGAGGGAAAAGAAAACTTCACTAAGTTCAATGCGTCAGTGCACCTGCCCCGTCACCACACGGCCACATCTCTGGAAACAAGGCCTTGGCGGGCAGTTGTCACTGGATGGGCAGAGCTGGCTGCCCGCGCAGGACCCGACAGCAGGGCTCCCGCGGCCCCGAGGGCGATGCTGGTCTGGCGCTGTCGTGCAGATGGCCACGAAGGGGACGCTGCAGCCTCACAGCCCGAGAGCCAGGTGGTCAGACGGCCAGAGCTGCATGCGGAGTCGGGGTGACAGATGCACGGATGGGGGCACCCCCCCAGGCATATCCCCACGGATGGTGGCAGGGACGTGGCTCTCTGTGCGGCCAGCCCAGCCCGGGTCTTGGGGAGCAGACCCACCTCACTCAGCAAAATACAGATGACACCCCAGCCCTTCATTTCTGAATTTTAATTAAATCTGGGCCTTGGTCCCCACAGTGGGGGAGGAACATGAGGAACAGACGCTGGGCTGTGGACGGCGCCTCAGTTCTGTGGATCACGACGGAATTTTAGGATGTATGACAAGAGACATCGTGGATTCGTGACTCTCCCTAGGTTAATTTGGAAAACTAGTTTTCCTGGTTCTGAGCCCAAAAATAATTATTTCTTACTCTTCACTGTCTATGATGTTAACAGACACCTGTGCCAGAGACGGCCCAGCCCACCCCCGCAGGCAGCCTCTCCTGCCAGCTCTGCTCACCGTCAGTCAGGTCCCTGGTCCGAGATGGCGGGGCTGCCCTAGGCAGGCTGGGCTTGCGCTGAAGGCCGCTGAGCCTGGGCCTTGGCTGCCGCTGGGACTGTGGCACCAGCAGGGGGGTGGCTCAGAGCCCTGGCAGCCCCCTCTTCCACATGAGGAGGGTGTCGGGCTGGGAGCTGAGCCCTTTGGGGTCCTGCACCTGGTGGCTCCAGCTCCAGCCTCCCTCACACTGCCCTGTGGTCGGCCTGGGCCAAGCTTGCCCAGGATGGGCTGGAGCGGTCCCTGTCACTGTCCCTCCTCCTGTGGGCTCTGACCTCGACCAACAAGAGCTCGGGTGCTCTGCCTGCCCCTCAGGCTTCCTCAGCTGCAGCAGCAAGTGACCGAGGGGAGACACCAAGGCGCTCGGCCCCCTCTCTGTGTCCCCTTCTCTGGGATCTTGGCTGCACAGCACAGCCCGGGGCCGAGGGGCCTGGGACTCGAGCCTTCTTCCCGAGCTTCCAGGCGGCACTGCTGCCCATTTGGTACTGTTACCCTGGTGGATGGTGGTACTGAACCCATGCCCGGTGACCCGGTCCTGCTCCCCAAGGAGGTTGTGTCGGTCTGCACTCAGCCCTCTGCCTGGGGACCTTCAGCTCTGGCTGCAGACTCAGGGGCAGGAGCTGCGTGGGGCTGGCCCAGGGAGGGTCATTTCTCTGGACAGACGCCAGAGCGCCAGCCCCCACCGAGCTGCCTCTGATGTGGGTCCGTGTCAGGCCAACCTGCACTTGGTGCCGTCCCCCTGGCTACTGGCTTGGCCCCACCCCCTGGAGCCGAGGGTGGGGTGCTGTGAGCCCTGTGCCCTGCAGGGCCAGGTGGCCAGAAACCGTGCAGATGAAGGAACGTCCTGGACAAGGTGACCTGGCAGCCCTGACCCCCCAACACGGCAGGAAGACGCTGAGTGGCTTTGAAGTAACATGGCGGGGAGGGTCTGTGGAGCGGGAGGGCCGAGGCCCCTGATAGCCGGTCCACACACCCATGATCCAGAAGGTTCCAGCATGACAGGACTGTGGAGGCCTGCTAGTTTTATCTGGGTGAGAACTTGGGAACAGGCGTCAAAAGACCACCAACTGCCCATGTGGCCCTCTAGGACTTCTGAGCAACGCCTGGCCCTCATGTGGGTCCTGCCTCAGGGGGCTCAGGTGGGGCCCTGGCATGCGCACATTTCCAAAGACCCCCAGGTCACTGCAACGTGAGCCCGCCGGGGGCGTGACCCAGACAGCTAGCCCAACAGCACAGCATGGGGACGAAACACCGGTTCTGCTAATGCAACAGGGGCTCTGAGGACTCAGAAGCGCGGCCCTGGGGACATCAGAGGCGGGGCTCAGAGCCCTCGCAGGCGACCCCTCATCCCTTGTCCATCTGGATGGCTGTTTCTTAATCCGGACAATGACATGTGGCGTCAAGTGCGTGGCCCCCGTGCGCCGACAGGTCTCATCTTCCTTGTTCCTTTTCAGCATCGCTGCAGCGTCTTCTCAGAGGGAAATGAACCCATCACCCCGTCCATCCATGTTTACACCGGCCAGGTGGAGGGAGGCCCCGAGACCAGGCAGGAAGATGAGCTATGAGGCAGGAATCTCGGGCCCAGGAGACACTGCGCAGATGTTCCAGGATGAGCCAACAGCGACCCGACCCCGCAAAGGAAGGGCATGGATTTCTGGAACTCCCCTGCTGGCTCTCAGCTCAAAAGCCTCACGGCGGATATACACGTGCTCATGGGCGCTGTTCTGGGGCCAGGAGCCCAGGGCAGTTACCCTGTGATCCCAGCTCTGGGTGGGCCACTCAGGGGCTGGCCCCCCTGTGAGTTGTCCCCAGGACTCTGGCCAATGTCACAGAGATTAGAAAGAGCAGGACACGTGGCAGGTGAGGAAGGAGAACCTGGTCTGGCATCTAGGATGAGCCTCTGCGCTGACCAGGAGCCACGGCTGACGAACGCCCACTCCCACGCCAGGACGGGACGTCTTGCCCGGCCCCACAGTGGGAGCCAATGACCGTCCCCGCCAGGGTCTCTCCCTGGCAATGAGAGTGGGGTCTGAGACTGCGGTGGTACGGCTCTCCTTCACTTCTCACACGCACCTCTCCAAGGAGACAAGGGACCCCGTGGCCTTGCAGAACCTTCCAGAACAGCTGTGTAAACTGAGTGTGGGAGGAGATGAGCACACTCACATCCTCTCCCGAAGGAACGAAGGGAAGCAAACAACCAGAGCCGCCCCTCGGGGTCATGGGCGCAGAGACAGGAGCGCAGCCCTGCAGGGCCCCACACAGACCCAGGCACTCATAACACAGTGCCACTCCCTGGGGATGGATGCTCCTGGCCTGTGCCGCAGACCCACAGAGAGGCGCATGCCTGCCATGAGACGGCGCCCGGCGGCCCCACACATCCCAGCTGGGCCAGCTGATCCCCCGGCCTCTCCGCTCTGACAGCTGAGGCCTGGCCCCTAAGAGGGCACCAGAGCAGGCCTCAGAGAAGAGCTGCAGCCCTGGGCTTCTCCTGCCTCATCCTAGGCACAGAGTGGGGCTGGAGAGGACAATGCCAGGGACACACCTGAACCAGGGCCTTTGGGAAACAGAAGGCAAGCGTGTGGGCTGGCCTTCTGGAGTAATGTCCAGAGCCGCAGGTTGGCGGCAAGGCCCTTCGAGGTCCAGCTCTGGCCCTCCTGTGCCCAGTGTTCCTGTGCCACCACTGCCCAGCACCATCTACCACTGTCCATCAAGTCAGTAGACCCCAGAACCTGGTTGAGACCCAGCCTTGCTGGGAGCCGTCCATGCCTGAGACCTGAGCCTCATGTCTGGGTGGTCCCCTGCAGTGGATGCACGGCGCCCCAGGCCAGGATTCTGACCTGCTGCCAGGTGAGGTCCAGGTAGCTGGTCCTCGTCCTGGTGCGCCTCGAGACTCGTGCCAAGTGCAATATGAAGAAACAAGGGTATTTCGAGGCTGCTGGTTCAATGGTCAATGCAAATATCTTCCCAAATCCTATTTCCAAGTAGCTGAACCCTTTCCACCCACATTAGTAGCTCAATCTCCCTTCAATTACCTTTTCAAGTGGTATGACCGTTGCTTTTCACTGGAGCTTGTCAAAGCCGGCCTTTGGATCATTTGAGAGAAAGAAGTAGGCAGAAACTGGCCAGTGCAGCCATGGGACGCCTGGGCGGTCCCTGCCGGCCCAGTTGACTCTGTGGCCCCAAGGGGGTCCCGCTGGTCCATGGCTTGTAAAAGTAGCTGCAGCAGTGGCTAATTAATGCCCCACAGCTTCACGTGGTTCTCGGTCACTGTGATGACCATGAGGTCTGAGCAGACCTGCATTCCTGCCAAGGCTGTGTGCCAGGCTGGGTCCTCCAAGCCGCCTCAGAAACCGGACCCATGTTCTCCATCAGGAGGGGAAGGCAGGAGTCACGGGCTTGGCATCCTTGGGTGATAAAGGGAGGCCCAGCGTGAGGCGGCACCCATGCTGGACACTCTCAAGGATGCTCAAGCCTCTGCCCGGAGCCTCCTCCCACTAGCTCAGAACCATGGTGCCACAGGGCCGAAGGGTGCAAGGGGCAGGCACGGTGCAGGGCGTCCCCGGCCTCCTGGGGGTGTCCCTCATTGGAGGCTAAGGGAGCAAGGGTCACTGGCCAGACAGGGCTGTGGCCCCCAGCCAAACCCAGACCATTTATGGATAAACTGTGATGCATCCAGACAATGTAATATCACTCAGCAATGAAAAGAAATGAGCTCTCAAGCCAGGAGAAGACACGAGGAACCTCCAGGTATACGACGAGGCGAGAGAGGCCAGTCTGGAGAGGCTCCATCCTGGATGATTCCTGCGGCGCAGCATTCTGGAAAAGGCAGGACTGTGGAGACGGTAAACAGGTGTGGCTGTCAGGGGCTCGGGAGGCGGGAGGCAGACACGCGCAGGGGTTTCGGGCAGTGACTTCTGTGTGTGACACCACAGGCTGGATGCCCGACGTCACAGCAGGAGGGGCCCCGACGAACGCCGGGCTTCTGTTACTGAGACGGCACCAGCGCTGGCTGTTAGCTGGAACCAATGAATAGCATGACGGTCACGACAGGAAACCGCGGGCGCAACAAGACCGTACTCTCCGCTCAGTTTTTCTGTGAACCTAAACCGGTTCTGAAAAGAAGGCCACTAAGTAGAAAACCAAACAAATTAGAGCTGAAACCCTGAAGCAGGGAGAGCAGGCGGGGCCTTCGAGCTCGCACGGCGCGCAGATGGGGGTGAACCAGACTCTTGGGTCTGAGCTGGCATGAAGTCACTTGAGAGAGATAGAGGTGTAACTTGCTAATTTGGGGAAAGAAGATAACAGAAAGAGAGAAAGCTCAAAAGAAAGCTGGATGGGACAAGAAGAAAACACCGGGATGAGAAGGCAAAGCCAACGGCAGTGGTGGAGAGACGGAGGCGAACGTGGGTGGAAGACGGGTCCTGCCCTGTGCCCTGACCGCGGCGCACGGAGACAGGACACAAACCCAGACTCTGCAAATAAAAGAACACTGCGCCTTCTGTTTGGCCAGTAAATTTGAAAACGGACAAAACCGACAAATTCCCAGGAAAAGGTTTGCTATTAAAACTGCCTCCACGTCTGACAGCTGGGAAGGGTGCTGACGAGTCACAAAGGCCCCGTGAGGCCCGGCGGCGCATGCAGAAGCAGTGTCCCCGCTCCTTCAGAGATGCCCTCGAGGAGCTCTGTGTAGTGACAGTAAAAGCCTGACACAGCGAGCCAGCACGGCCGTGTGGACAGAACACGACAGACTGGTCATGTCCACTGACGACCCACAGAACCAGAGGGAGCGAGTGGTTCCCAGTGACTGAAAACACACAGTGTGGCCGTGCGGAGTGTAACCCAGGGAGGTTAGCTGGGTCAGCCTTAGGAGTTAGTGCAACTCACCACGTTAACAAAATAAAGGGAAAACCCGTGATCTTCTCACAACTCGTGGAGAGAAACCATTCGCTCCAGTCCAACAGCCATCCATGAATGAAAGTGCCCCAAACAAACGACACAAGACTTCCTGGTGAGCCAGAAATAGATCCTGAGCCTGGCAGCCACAAAGCCCAACCACGACCGACGCAGGCTCCCACCAGGCGGGGGGCGCTGCGAGCACCCCCTTAGCAACTGGGGGAGGCCCCACTCCCGCTGCACCTGCCATCAGACCCCCAGACAAGGAAGGACGGAAGATGGAAAGACAGCTGGCAAAATGACGAGGATGCCGCCGTCACTCACGGGGGCATCTCCCAGGGCTTGCAGACAACGGTGAGGACAGATACACACAGAGAGGTTATCAGAGAACGATGACAACAAGCAGCCAGCAGCATTTCCACACTCAGGTGACAGACAGGGAGACGTTTCAGTGAAAAAAGTTCCATTTACAAAATCAGCAACAAAAATGAGGTTCCTAGGAACGAATGTGCCCAAGTGCGCATGGAAACGTGATTACGTGGACGTCACGTGTCTCCCGAGGGATCAGAGGGTCTCAAGTGGCTGCAGCAGCAGCTCCGCGGTCCTGGACAAGACACAATCCTGCAGAGATGACAGCTCCTCCTGTCAGACTCAACGCGACACTGTCCCCATCAGAGATACCAGCAAGCCACAAGCAGACACCACTCTTCACCACCAGCACAGCAACGAGGAAGACCAGCCGCACAATGCTCGTGAGGACGTGGGCACGTGGGGCTCCCCGCACCCTGGAGGGGGTGAAAGGACAATGGGGTGCCTGGAAAGCCACACACACCTGCCCTGTGACAGACATCCCTGCAGAAGATGGCCGTGGAGGACGGCAGGTTTACTCGTAACAGTGAAAACCTGGAAACCCCAAACGTCCAGCGAGAGGAGCAGAGACGCCACCGGCAGCATGTTCATGCCGTGGAACATGCTCAGTAAACAAAGGCGCGGCCAGCACACATGCCGCCACCACCCGTGGATCCCACGCCAAGATGCCGGCGAGGCAGCTCCGTGCATGGGCACGCTCTGTGCCCACGGACATGAGGGTCCGGAGCAGGCAGGACGAGCCAGCGTGCAGGGCACCGAGCGCGGGGCATGGCGCCTCTCATCTGCAGGGGGGCGGGATGTGCGGGGCGCACGTTCGTCAGATCACTCAGGGTCTGTGCGTTTCACAGGGTGCACGTTACAACTCAATAGAAACAAGGAACACAACACGGATTGAAAGTCCCAACGTTTTTCCTGGGAACCGACAAGTGGATGCTCATGTTTAGAGTGGGCTCAGGCTCACCTGGAACAGGATCTGTAAGACCCCGTGGAGGACGCACATCCGCCGCCCCAGGAAGACGAAGAAGGGCACCACGAGCTCCAGGAAGTGGTTGCCCAGCGTCTCGATGCGGTGGACCCACCACGGGGAGCGGTGCAGGAAGTAGGCCACAGGGTTGGGCACTGGCTGCGTCTGTGGGACAGAAGAAGGCCCATGAGGCGAGCCCGGGAACCTGCCCCACCGGGGACCCCGCTGCCCCAGCCCCGCCCACTCGGTGCCCATTGGCCGGCCCAGGAGGGGAGGGGGCTCTGGCGTCTGGACTGCCCTGGCCAGGGAGGCATGGGGAGACTGGCACCACAGCCCTTCCTCCAGCAGCTCACCTGCTGCCAGGACATGAGTCCCCAGGAGAGGGGACGATGATGTCTCGGCCCTCTCCCCTTGCCTGCTGCACTGCACTTCCAATACTGACCCCTTTAGGAGCCCCCAGTGGCCCTGGTGACATGGGAGCTCAGATGCTGCGTCAGTGCCCGCAGAGCCTGGGTGAAGGGACAGGGCATGTGGATGGCAGTGGACTGAGGGAGCCCATGTCCCGGCCAAGGCTCCACGCGGTGGACTTCTGCTAGGAGGCGGGGGGGAGGTGGGGTCCCGGCCCCATGTGTGTGATCCTGGGAACGGCCGGCTCACGTGTGCGGGGTGGGTGGGTGCGGCATGCCCTGGGAGACCCATGTGTTGACTCAGCCGTGATGCTGGCTGCCCTAGGGCCCAACTGACAGGCTGCACCTCTGACAACAGGGCCCTGTCCTCCCCCAGCAGCCGCAGCCGAGGCCAGGAGCAGACCACGCAGAAGGCCACGCGGCCGACCACGCTCACAGGGGCCCACTGTGTGGGCTGGGGCAGGTTACCCGGTGCCGACAGCCAGGCGTGGGCGAGCAGCACGGGTCGCCCTGCACAGACCCGCCTTCCCGCCTTTGGAGGGAGCTGCGGTTCCACGAAGGGAGTGCGGCCACTGTGTCCCCCCACCCCAGGCCTGGGAGCCTGGGGTCCGAAAGCAGACGCAGGGGAGCCGGGCCTGGGCCTCGCGCCTCTTCACACTGCCGAGCAGTCTGAACACAGGGCTCCTGAGAGCAGCCCTTCTCCCTCCTGGGGACTCATGTTCTCCGCGCAGGCACTCACACACGCAGGCACACGCACATGCACACCGGGCAGACAGAAAGGCTGCCATGTGGGGCGGTGACGTCCACCGTCAGAGACAGACAGATGGCTGACAGTGGCAGTGCCAGCGAGGGTCCAATTCTGAGACTTAACGATGTTCCTGATGACAATAAATGGGCTTTACTGTCACAGACAGTTTAGACCCCACAGAAGGAAGGGCCTCCTGCAGCTGCTGCTGGATCACGGTGCCCCCGGCCACGCGGGTCCCCAGCTGTCCCTACCCTCCCGGCACGGGCGCGGCTGCAGCCTGACCCTGGATTTGCTGTGGACACAAGGAGGAGCCTGTCCTGCTGGCGGCCTGTCGTGTGGTGGGCATGGGGAGTGACCGCCGAACTCACAGGGGCACTGGTGACAGCGCGCTGGCCTGGGTGTCCTGAAGAATGCACAGCCCCCGCCTGAAACTCAGGGCAGCAAGAGGACATGATGACAACGGTGGCTCCCGCCCCAGCTCAGGGGTGGAGGTGGCTCCAGGGAGGACGGCCGCGGGGAAGGGCACTGCCCCCCGGAAAGTGCTCTCCTGCTCACTTGTTTGGACCTGACTTCTGAGGTAGAGAAAAGTTAGGAGCACATACAGAAAAGCCGGGCGCCTGACTCCCCGTGCTCCCCCCACCCCCCAGCCCCAATGGTGTGCTTTCTGGCCCTTGGAGAGCAGCCCTGTGCCCCGGATCCACTCTGAGTCTCCCAACTGGGAGGGCGTCTCACAGCACGGCAGTCGTGACCGGGGACTCAGAGCTGTGACACTGGCCTGCCCGTGGGGTCTGACTCGGCTCCCGCCTTTGCTCGCGCGTCCAGCCCCAGGCTGTTTCGGATGCCAATGCTCCAGAGCACAGCTCACCGCAGCCCTCTCCTCGAGGCAGACCTGGGGGCATGTCTGGCAGGAAGACCCCAGAGGGAACGTGTATCCTTTCTGGGCCCAGGGTGGGCCTGCCCGGATCTCCGGGTGCGGGTGTCAGCAGGTCCTCCCCACAGAGCTGCGTCTCCTCCGCGCAGGTCCAGGCTGGGAGGTGACCCACCACACCCAACGTGGCGGCTTCAGGGTCCTCGGACGGTTCCTGCCAGCCGACGGTTCCGTGGCATGCACACGGAGATGTGGGTCTGCTGTGAGGAAGAGCTGCCCTGTGCCCCGCGCCCCTGCCCGTGCAGTGCGGACGCGGGGTTATCTTATTCAGGGGAGATGATGCTCCACTGTCACTTACTTTGACTTGCCTGTACACTCTGAGCGTTTCCCTGCTTTCTGGCACTAACAGTACCCCAGGGTCAGCTGTGCCCCTCCCTGCTCCTGTGGGTGAGCGGCAGTGTCATCATGGCACCTGGCCCCCCTGCTGGGGACCCGGCGAGAACCTGGGGCGCAGTAGGCAAGGCCTGCACTGGGCAGCCACGTGAGCTCCCCTGAGGCAGGGCGTCATCCAGCTCGGTTCTGGGCCGAGGTTGCCAGCCGGCCGTGCATGGGGCGCAGCTGCTCCCACCGCCTCTGGGCCTTATTTGGTCTCTCCTGAGGTTTCTGCTATGCTGAGCCCCTCAGATCCTCATCCCCAGCACCAAGGTTTGGCTGACACTTGGGTGAGCTGGACGGTGGAGGCCCTCGCCCCGAGATGGCAGGCACGCAGGCGGGGTGTCCTGGGCACCTGCTCACGGGTGAGTGAGCACAGCACATGCCCCCTGGACGTGGCCTCCCCGCACACTGTCACGTGGTGCTGACTGCCCGCAGGGTCCTCCAGACAGAATGGCCCCCGCCCCAGCCCCTTCGGAGTGGGCTGTCCAAGGCTGACCGACGAGCGCAGAGGACCTGGCACCAGCTGTGCAGACAAGCCTTTTCGGCTGGGCCCTTCCCGAAAAGCCACGTGGCGTGTGGGTGTGTGCTGGGACCTCCTGGCTCCGGCTCCCAGCGGTGACAGGATGCCGACGCGAGAATCACCGGGGAGGGAAGGAGCCACGGCACGGGAGAGAACGGGCTCTACTCGATCCTCAGGAAGGGCCACTTCCTCAGGGTCCCTGCATCGATGGATCACGGCTGGTCGTCCCGGGTGCCATCCCCTCTCCAGGAGGCGTGGGCCCCTGCGTCCCCGGGGCCTTCTCCAGGAGCCTGAGCAGAAGCTCCCGCATGTGCCACCCCGACGGCAGCCCCTGCTGCTTGTACGATGCGTGTAAAGCATGAAAGACGACAGCTGGCTGGTGCACCTGCCCACCCGTCTGCTCTTTCTTGAGGGAGAGACACTGGAACCGCCGGCCGTGTGCAGAGGGGAGCGTGGCCGGGTCAGGGCGGCAGCGGGCAGGCCGAGCGCCGTATGCGACGTTCTCCTCAGGGCAGAGTGTGGGTCCGAGCACAGCAGGCCAGGCTCCCCACAGCCGGGCAGGCCCTGCAAGAGGTGGGGTGGTGGCGGCACTCCTCGCTCTCCACCCGCGTGCCCAGCGGGGCTCGCAGGGTCTGTTTCTTGATTAAACGCGTGTTTCTGTGGTTGGAGCAGACCTTTACAAACCGCATCCTGGGACAAGGGAGTGTTTCCCCAGTTTTGTGGGTAATGTTGTGTCCTGCAGTGTTGACTGAGCCAGACGCCTCTTCTCAGGAGGACCTGGCCCCGGGGACGGCAGACCTGCAGGTGGCTCCCTGGCCGGCACCGACACCTTTGGCAGTGGGAGCCTGGGTGGAGCAGTGGCAGCAGCCACTCTGTGGGGACCTGGGCACTGGCTACGTGGGGGATATCGGGTTCTTAAACGGGAAGAACGTAAGCCGGGGCGGCTCCTGCCATTGCGGGACTTCACATTCCGGGGCTCTTCAGCTCACGCGGGTGGGGTGTGGTGAAGAGGAGGGACGTGCACGACGGAGGCATCGGACCCTGGCATGGAGGGGACCACGTGGTGCGGTCAGCAAGGAGCTGGAAGACCGGGCACAGCGGCTCCTGAGTCTGCGGCGTGAGCCCCGAGTGGGCCATGCCCTCGGCCCATGTGGGCTTCACTGGGGCTCACAGAACGAATACGGTGACTGCGACGCTGGCGGTCCCCTACGATGGCGGAGTTCCTTGGAAGGAGGGCTGTTTTCTGAGGGCCTGCACCGCCGCTGAGGGGCTCCGGCCCCCAAGGGACACCACGGTCAGGCTTCTGGGATTTACGACCTGCAGGGTTCGGTGTGTCTGGGCGGGGCCTGCTCTGTGCGCTGACCCTCAAAGGCACCGAGGTGTGGGCCACGCTGCTGGCCAGGGTCGTGAGGCCTCACTTCTCGTGCAAGCCCAGGACAGAGTTTTATTTTTGTTTGCGCTGAAGCTGGAGGAAGACACCGGGTTGTAAAGTCTGGCTGAAAACTGTGGGAGTGGCACCTGGAGCATGCACCTGTGGAGCTCGGGGTGTGGGTGTCCAGCATGGCCGCAAGGCGAGCGTCCAGAGCACAGCCCAGCCTGGGCGCCAAGGCCGGCCAACCTGGCCCCATGGCCTCTACAGCTGGTCCCCCTAAACACAGACAATTCGAAATAAGAAGAGCGTGAAGCGTGATGATGGCGGTCCAGGGACTTGGCAGGTAAAGAGCTCTGGGGAGCGACGTGACTTCCTGTCTGGAACCAGCCCCGCCTTCAACACCTGTCCCCATGTTCCCCCGTGAGAGGTCCCAGAACAGGAACAGTTTTTCAGCCAGTTTCCCACTTTAGGGACTGTGAATTCCGTGTTTGGGGTTCTAATGAGAAAGGGAGCACACATTCTTGTCTCAAGAACAAGTCTCTTAAAACTCTCAAGCTCCACGTATTCTGTTTTAACAGAAAACTGTGGGTCGTACCCGTTCCCTGCCAACCGGGGCCTCGGCCCGTGGAGCCAGGAGGCGAGGTGTCACGGGGAGGCGGCAGTGCTGGGCGCCTGGCACGCACCCCGAAGTCCGAGTTCTCGCTCTGGTTTTCGGGGTTTTCAGGGTGTGTGATGAGCGTCCTGGGGATGTGGGGTGTCTGCACTGGCAGCTCCTTGACAGGAGGGTTATGCCTCTCAAGCGAGGGCTCTGGATA